CACCCATAGGAATATATAAAAATGATTAGTCTCTTTCACAATTACAAATTTGGAATAGTGTTAAGATTAAACTAATGATTTAATCAAAGAAAAGCAAGATTACACGATTCTATTCTGTTTCAAGAAAATCAAGAATTATCGTTTTTGTGTTTATAGTTTCGTTTCAGTACTTTCGTTGTTAAGGCTACAATCTCAACACTCTCCCGGTCTTTATAGTGGATCTTTAGTGTGTAGATAGTGTATAGATTGGTTAAGACGGCTAGTTGTATTAATCATTGTGTTTCCAAGATCATGAAGTATTGGCGTTAATGCATCTCCAAGAATCTTAGGTTCAACATCATACACCATAAAGAACGGTGTTATACCTGTTGACTGATGAACACGTACCCGGCATGCAAATAGAGCTTGATCAACGAATTCATCCCATTTCGTTGTTTTTCCTTGGATATATTTTCTTAACATGCTCATAAATGTTCTATTAAACCTCTCAACAGTACCATTTGTCTGTGGATGGTAGCCGGACGTTAGCAGATGCTTTGTGCCCATTGTTTGTAAATACGCACGAAGTTCCCGAGACATGGTACTCGGACCACGATCTGTTAGTAATTCGGAGGGGCACCCATAATTCATCATTATCTCATCATGTAGAAATTTTGCTACTGTTTGTGTTGTTGCAGTTGGTACGACTTTAACCACGGGCCATTTTGTTGCATGATCTATGGCCGTTAATAATCAACAGTTTTGACTTCCCGTTTTTGGCAATGTACCGACAAAATCCAACGACCAACGATTAAAGGCCAGTACAGGTGTTAACGGATGTAATTCTTCATGATTACCCGATGTTGCTGTTGACAATTGGCATTTCTGACACATTGATATCCACTTTTTGATATCTTGTTTCATATTCGGCCACCAGGCTCTAGTGCGAAGCAACTGATAGGTACCTTCAGTGGCTATGTGTCCGTATGCTTCGTGAGTTTTTCGAACGGTATCAGATCGATTAATAAATGGAACAAACGGAACTGTAGTTCCATCATCTAATTTTCTTCGTAGTATGTCATTACTTGGATCTATAATAAACATGTGTGATTCTTGTTGAATTTTTTGTTTAACTTCATCCGATAGTTCGTCATCTGTTGTTGATTGACCATTTTCGAGATACGATGTAACATAGATGGGCCAATCTGTTGCTTCGATTGTGTTCACCTGCA